ATTCAAAGTGGGAGACCCTAAAAGAAGGTAAAGGTCAGCGGCCCAGATGGTTGCGGGTTGGTGAAGCTGAAGAGGCAGAGGTGGGATGGAAAGAGGGAAAAGGAAGAGAGGCGCCACGAATAAGTGTCGAAACTGAGCATTCAAGACTGCAAGTGTGATTATAGCGACTGTGATTATAGCGACGCTATAGATCACAGGTACATATAGCGACGAAATAATAACAGATAAAAATATAGCGTGGACGTACCTTCAGATGGAGAGGATTAGTGTATGGTGATCCAACTCCGAGTGCAGGCCCTGCAAGTGAAATATTAGACCAAGGTGGAGTGTCTAGAGGAAAGGCAAACGTAGGCAGCCTCAACGACTGTGGGCTGGTTAAGAAGAAGGGTGGAAGAAGGGTGGAAGAGGAGAGTGGGAAGACGTGTGAATTTGGAATAAGGAAAGTCGCATCAAAAGCGAGCAAACAAAATAGATGGGAGATTATGATGACTCTCAGACATATCGATCAGAACATACCTTTGATGGACTGTTCCTCTTCAACTTCTTGCACCGGCCAAGTTGGAGAGTTGGGGTGCAGGAAGAATGTTTTTGGAATGACAACTCTGGGGGATCAGGGATGTGTGGGAAAGATCAGTATGAAAATAAATTTGTAGCCAGAATTATAACGACGCTAGCATGTGTGGTGACTTCCTTTTACAATGTTTACAATGTTTGGCCTGCTATAGGGGTGGGCTAGGGCGACGTTAGCCCTGTAACGGTGGTTGCTCTGGTCGTCAGTGGAAGTGAATACACGCGTCGCGATGCCCATTGTCGCGTGACTGCCGTTTGCCAGCAACTAGACGCCTATTCACTGGCCACCTCGCACTACTGGACTTTCCCACCAGCGAATAGAGACCCACCCATGGATTGTGCAGAAGTTTGGTGGCCATATTGGAGGGTAATCAGTAAGTGTACCTCAGTTGCCTCAAATCGATATCGATCCAGGTATCTGATAATAGATAACATGAATAATTACGATAGCACAGCAAGCCATAGGCATTGCCTAGCAGTCGGAGACGCTATCAATCACAATGCGAATCAAGTATAAGAAGCCCCGAGTACAGTGACAATTTAGAAAATATTCCCAGGGCCGCCCCGAAACAAGTATGGGATTGTCCCAAGGCTTTGTATGGTAAGATAACATGATTCTACATCTTGAAACTTTGGTCCTAGGGGTTTCTCCCAGGCAAGAGCAAGGGCGTAAGCACTCTACAGGTGATGAGTCCGCATGGGATGGGCTTCTTCGTCCTTGCCACCTGTACATATATGGGGATCAATGGCTGCTAGACCCATAGCCTTTTGTACAATAGTGTTGCTGCTTCCTCCTTGTTTGGTCCCCATTGCTCTTGATGAAGGGTCCAGTAAAGACTGGCAGTGACGCCCTTCAGGCGTTGATAAAAGTTCCCAGGGATGCAGCTATTCCCATGGTAGGCTATCTTTCTCGACACCCACCATGATTAAATATGGCTCCCAAGTTGCTCCCCGGTGTAATAGGCCAGTACATACATTGGTAGATTACAAATTCATCTCGTGAATCCTCCCTAGATAGCACATCTATACATCCATGGTGAACTTGGTGGGTATATTTCTGGAATTTTGCATGTCGACAATTCAAATATTCGGAATATATTGATGACAAGGGAAAAAGGGAAACTTTTACTGTATTTTTCGAATATATATAGCGGACTTTGGATTCATTCATCGTCACGAAGGCGTCATCTGAACACCTTACCCTCCCACGAGGTATCCGGCGAGGCACGCTGCCCGCTATACACAAAAACGGCTTCAAGAGCCCCAAGTTCGTGAAGCATCATGGCTTCTTGTTCACCCCAGACTGAACGTATGTACCCTGTGCCTTCAGAGCCTCCGTGGCGGGACAGCGTGAGACTATGTAGTACATAATTATTGTGTAGACCCCGCGATGGTGGAGGTTGTATTCGAGGCTCTTTGCCGGCATGACAGGCAATGGCGACATCACGTACGTTTATTCGCATCGGATCTTGGAATTATTCCAGACGATCATATAATTATTCTAGAGTTGATATGGGGTACAATTTTCAGCGGAAAGGACGAGCCCACGACGAGAGGCCAAAATAAAGTTACCTGGAAGAGCCAAGATCCCGAGAACAAGGGAAGACCAAACTTTCGCGTGCCACTAGATATTTCAAGCATCAAACATATGAACCTGCCGTGCCAAAGTAGCCCTACAGGTGAGTTATTGGATGATGAGTACTATCACATCAAGGAAATGCGTATCTAGGAGGGAGTTAATTTACAGACTTGGGCGGGAACTAGATCTGAATGAGTTGGGTAGCAAATCATTCGAGATCCATTCCCAGGCCCACCCGGCTGGAACCTCGATCAAGCTCCACGTCCTCAACTATCTCCGTCGGGAGCTTGCAACGGTCCCGAAAGCCAAGTCCACCGCCACCGTGGCCACGGTGATCTGCTCGAGCGCGATGTTTACGGGAGAGTACAAGAAGCTCCCGGGATGGGAGCCGGAACATCCCGTGTATGAGTATTGGGTCGGGAAGAAAGGCGTCGAAAAGCTGGTGCGCAAAACCCGGATCTCCGCATTTGAGGATCCTACGGCCGGGGGATGTTTTTCCAGGATCTCCTTCCGCCGATCTCTCCGTTTCCGACCTCATCCACGAGGAATGCCTTGAGAGTCGCCCGGCCCGAGACCAAGATTCCACTTATCGACGGATCTGACGTCGGATTCGCTGTCGCGGCGGCGCTTTCCCATCCGGAAAGGTATTCGGGGCGGACGATAGATCTAGCGGACCCCTCGGACCGTGGAGGGTCTGAGAATTCAGGAGGTGGCGGATGCGATGACTAAGGCGACGGGGGTGTCAGGCGTGGAAGCCGACGTGCTGGCCACCGAGAGTCCGGGTCGCTTCGCTGCTTCCCAGACCTTTGAAATGATCTAAGATGCCCCATCGATCTAGAAGCAACGGCCCAGGAGTATGGATTCACGAGTAAGAAGTTCTTGGCGGAGAAATTGACATAGGAAACAGGATTGCGCAAATTGACCTCGTTTGGGGCTTATACCGGATAGTTGCATCCATGGCTGCAACGATGGGTTGTTAACAGGTACCTATAGGGAGAAGGGCTCAGTCGTAAAAGACTATTGCTACGGAATAGACAGAACGTATAATAGTATTCGGTGTCGTAACAAACTGTCGTTCGATACTGTGCAGTATTTGGATAACTCTTTACTGCGGCAGCGCCATCCTAACAAATTCAGATGTAGGCCGGTAACGTAAGGGTTATTCCTTGTGAATTGGCGAAATGATTTGGCGTCTCTGTTTCCATTGTGCACCTTTCATTCGATAAAACACGCCCACCGCACACACGACGCGAAAACCACTGCGCTAGCATCCCAGCGAGATCAAGCAAGGTGCTCACCACCAGCTTCTTACCCAAGGGCCTTGGCGCCACGATACCCGAATCCAACATGCCTTGGTAATACCAGCCCACTACAGCCCGACCGAAGCAAGAGACACGATCGAGACTACCTATGAAAATGGCAAATTTCAACGACCATACCCCCCAACTCAAGATCTACTCCCTATTCGACATACCCTACGCAGCTGGTGTTGCGGACTCTTAGGGTGACATACCCAGCATCGACGTGCTAGAGTAACGCCAGCATCATGTCCCCGAGTTTCAAGCTATCACCCGACAGCTACGAGAGCCATCCTGCGTTCCCGACCCTTCCCTGAGCTCGACCAGAAAGGCCTATACTTTCATTCAGTCAGCAGGTACGGGAAGACTCTACTCCCATACACAGGTGACTATCCAGATTCCCCATTCTTTCGATAATCATTCTGCCAGCAACATCCTTGGAGCAGGCCTTCATCAAGACCTCACCCTACGAGAGCCAGCCTAGGAAGCTTCTCCAGGAGGTATGATCGCATTCAGGGTCCACCCCCTCTTTGCGACCTTCCTTGTGCAAGAAGAACATCAGCAGCTCTCCCGCCAGTCCTCGATCCCTTCTATTTCCCTAGCCTGATCGTGAACAGGATCCCGACCTCCAAATTCCCACGCCTCGTCAACCCAGACAGCGACGATCATCACCTTCATCAGTGAGCCGACTACAACTTCCAGATCTGTGTTCCCCTGTCTTAGTATCTGTTAGGCGGCAAGGGTAGATTGGCTGAGCACCTGTGACTATTAATAACAGCACTAACCATCACACGCCACTTACAGATAGCCTTTCCAAGACGGTCAATGGGCTCTTCGTCACGAAGCCTATCGAAAAGCTACGCGATCCCGCGCTCCTATAATACAGCGTCTCTCCAGGCGTCGTTAGCACCCGCTCCGATTGCTGTCTCTTCCGCCTCGGCTTGAAAAAGCGATGCCGTCTCTTGCAAGCTTGCAGGAGGCTTTGATACCGACATGTTTTCCATTCGATTGAAGGTTTCTAGATCTTGGACCGTTGGTTACGCTTTCGGGAGTGAGGAACACTGGGCTGACTTGAAGTGGCAGACTCCGGACCTGAGAGCCGTAACGCGTGTAGCGCATATCCGTACGGCCGTCGACCTACGAATTGAAGAAATGATACTCACTCATTCGTTCCTTGATATTGATATGATATCCTTGCAATCCCTCCTCGACCCGTTTCCGTTCCCTGTACACGTCCACGATTGAACGACGATGATGCGCGAGCATGCCTCACTGCAGATCAAGAAGGAGATAGCGACGCTGCGATGCCAAATCGCTTCAAGTACCGTATATCACCAACGACAATCGATATGAAAAGCATCCCTTACGGCGTTGAGCTGTTCCATGCTTAGGTTCGGGGACTTCTGAGATCTAACTTCGGGATAATATGCTATTTGTGCGAGGTCGAGATAAAATTCAGCAATTGATCTGGCGAAGGCGCCGCGATCGCGGTCTTATGGACTGGTTACCCCTCAAGCCCAGTATACGGAGGGGGGCAAAAGTAAAAGTTAGAGCGCCCCAGGCGGGGGTCGAACCCGCAACCTTGGGATTCCACATGTCATTCCTTAGAGGGTTTTCTAAGGCGATGAGGTGATAAAAGTCCCACGCTCTAGCCAATTGAGCTACCAGGGCCTTGACTAAACTGCTTAGGGTTGATAATGCTGGATCTAGAACAAAAGATAAGCTGTAGTTCAACAAGCTAGGTACATGACTTTCATCAATGTTTGATCCAGGTTTGATACAATCCGTCTTCAACATGTTTAATTGCGCAAGAAGAAGGTTTGCTTATCATGAATAATTTTTTCTTCTTCATTTTAGTGGAAACAAGGGATGCGGAGCTACTACGCCGGACAGTACTAGCGCTCGCCAGTTCTGAGATCCATTCCGTGATATCGCGAATGATATCAGATGGGCATCACATTCAGGGAGCACACAAGTCTGTTAGGGGAAGAGCAAAGTCAAATCCAGTCTATCCGTCTATCTAGCCGATGAGCAACCACCACCATTCATGTGCCCACTGCACCAAAACATCCCCTCGAGCGAAAAACTGCTCATGAATAGTAGCTAGTCCGATTACGACTACCACCACGTCTTGTTCGTCCGCTTGGTCGGAACCTTGTAGTGCTTGGTGTCGACGTATCGATGGTCGGAATCCGAGTCGCGGTCCTCGTCAGAGTCCTTGTCGGGCACAGGTCGCTTGCAGGGAGTTGGAGATCGGTCTGTAATTATATAGTTAGCTGTTGTCCGAATAGATTAGTGCAGGATAGTCTTGGATATACTCACGTCTGCCTGTCATCTTGACCTTGCGCTTGTAGAGGGACTGGACGCTGTCGCTGTCGGAAGAGTACTCTCGCTTGATCCCGTCGCTGTCGCTGTCACTATCATTGTCGCTGTCACTCTCACTCTCACTGTCGCTGTCGCTCTCGGAAGAATCCTCTCGCTTGATCTGGACGTCGCTGTCGTAGTAAGGAGGATAGCGATCCATATTGACATCGCTGTCGGAAGAGTCCTCCTTCTTAATCTTCACATCGCTGTCGCTGTCAGAAGAATAGCGTCGCTTGACCTTGACGTCGCTATCCGAAGAATCCTCTTTCTTAACCTTGACCTTGACGTCGCTGTCGGAAGAATCGTCGTACTTCATCTTGACGTCGCTGTCGGAAGAGTCCTCCTTCTTGACCTTGACGTGCGACTTGGTTGTCTTCCGATGCTTGGTCGTGTGTCTGCTCGGCTTATAGTCGTCCGAGTCCGAGGAGTCCGAGGAGACCGAGGAGAGAGAAAAGCCCGTGTGCACGCGCTTCTGGGGGATTGTCTTCTTCATCTTATGGGGTGCCATCTTGGATGTCGAGGACGAGTCACAAAGGTAGTTGTTAGTGTTAGAGATGGGTTGGTAGTGGAGATTGTTCGTAGTGTGTTGTTGTGTAAGGGTCGAAGAGGTTAGGTATGGATAGGATTGTAGACTACAATGTTGATGTTTCAGAGTTGGAAAAAAAAAAAAGAAATCTGCGGAGGGGGGACAGTGGTATTATATAGAAAAACTAGAGGCCCTGTTTGGCATTCACCATTCACCATTCACCATTCAAGGAGCGAATAGTGAATGGTGGTGAATGGGAATGAATAGCAGTCAATGGTAATGAATGGTGCTTGCCCCGATATGGAAGCGAATGTTTAGGCGCTATCATACTGCAAAATGTTTGGGAAAAATCACCTGTCGTACGTCACGTGAAGTACCAACAACACCCTATATTCACCAGGACAGGTGGTCTATCCAATATCTTAGACAGTATCGCTTCAAATCAGCTTGGACCTTAGGCGCGGGTCAATTCGTCATATCAGACGTCCTCAGAAGAGGACGGCAAAGTACCAGCAAGCCAACCAAGTACTATATCTCATATGAATGACCACAGGGAAGTAAAAACTAAAATAAGGATAACCCCCTATCGATCTAATCTTGACATTCTCCATTCGTTAGGCCACAGGACTGTTTTGATCATCCAAGAGTCCCAGACAATTGATGTTGTGGCTTTCCGAATTAGTTGGAATTAACTGTCTTCTTAACCAAATCTTGAGGGAAGGGATGTGTCGGTGATACAAGAAGGCCTGCCATGGATAACGTACAAGAGCTTGCGCTTTAATAAAAGCTCAAGGGAACGACGAGGACTAATATTAGCTATGAGGTAGGTACCTTGAAGGTGGCCCAGGTGGCTCGGTGCTGGGTGACCATTGCTCGAGATGTGCAAATATTAGTCAAAAGATGGAAAGAGAAGGGATAATTTTGGAGTTTTCAGAACATCTATATATGCCAGGCTCGGTCACGTATGTAGAGATCAGGGTGATTATAGTATATACGTTATAGGTTACTTTCAGTTATTCTAATGAAGATATGGAAAGTAAATATATGCATCAGTGTTTAGGAATAGCCTAGTCCAGTGTTCTAATTTTGGAGTTTCTTCAGCATTAAAACTAGGACCTGTTGATTCACCCTTCCCAATAATAGGTATGTGTCTTCTACTCCTAGGAGTAGAGCGTCTCCAATGTAAGAATAGATTAAAATGTATTTTGTCAAGTTTTAGCCGATCAGTGTGCATTCAAAGCGAACAAGGGTGTGCCGCGATATGTCATGAGGTGGGCGGCGTATGCGTCTGAAACTGAAATAAAGATGTGGTAAGATCAAGGCTTATGATTATAGTTAAGCACATACTGAAGACGTGAAGTGTATAAGTATCAACTTCAAACTTGTTTCGACATTATGGTGGTAGTTTCGAACTGATACTTGGCCTGCTGAAGTGGATCCTGGGCTGGAATTTTTGGCACGCTGAGGGTTACTAGATTTTCGAAGGTACCTAGGTCGATCAAGAAACGAGTGAGTTAGGATGAGTGAGGCTGACATGAAAGAACCTGGATGGGAGGAAATGAATATATATTGTTAGGTAACCTAGCTACCTACGTGTCGCCAAGAACAGTCGCAAAAAGACAGGCGCAAAGCTCCCAGGTTGTTTCCCATTACCGAATGGTAATATCCCTAGCCGTACCAAAGTCTTGAAGGGCAATACCGAGGCTTCGTCAAGATTTCCACACCTTTCATCTTCTGTGGTTGAGTCGGGTAACCTGGTAGCAGGCCTCGCGACTGACAGACGAGGAACAGGGTCGGACGCGGCGCACGAACAAGACCCGTCACGGCTTAGGTAGTTTGCTGCTTCTGAGCTGGCTGGCCCTTATCGTCCTCATCCTCGTCCCCGGCGCCTCGCTTGCTCTTGTGAGTTGCTCCGCTCGTGGCATCGCAGTCGCAGTGCCAATTAGCATATTTCGTCATAACGTCAACGACCTTTTCTAGCCGAATACCGACAAGAGCCGCCAAGACAGCGACGGAAGATATTTTCTGCCGGCCAGCAAGTAGTTCGTCAGCCGAGTGAGACATCACAATAGCGGTAGAATCTACTACGTCGACGAGATCAGGCAGTATGCCATCATTATGACGTAGTAAACTAGCGGCATCGTTTACCGTGTGAGTGGAGGTTGATACCGCTTGCACGCAGTCCGCCAATCTGTGAAGGCTAACGTCAAGCAACGTGAGAAGTTCAGTCAGGGGTGTGATGAACTCCGATAGCGAGGCTGCGGTGGCCAAGAAAGCGGCTTGTCGAGGACACTCGGGTACTACAGTGACGTTAGCTCGTGGCTCGTGTTAGTGTGGAGTTTCTAGGAAGTCTTACACTTAGGCTGAGAACCTTTGCTGCCATCTTGGTCGTCGTCGTTCTTATCCTCTGCACCTTCCTCCTTCATAGAATCAACCGGTGTTGAGGGGCTGTTGTTTCCCGAATCCTCAGCAGCATGGATCGATTGACCCGCCGAAGCGTCAGTGGAGGGCAAAAGCTGGCTCTGGTCAGAGCCATTGATGGGTCTGCCTGCTGAAGTATCGGGTGCGTGCGGAAGCCGGCCTAGGTCAGAGCCGCTAGCAACGGGCTGAGGAGGCGGCGGAGGATGTGCCGGATTGAGGCCAGCGTTGAGAGGCTGAGATGATCCCCCGGTATAGTGACGCATGGCACCTAGGAGGACGTCGAGAGCGACACGAGGCTCGGGGTCCTGAGCAGTCTGCCGGGCGTTGTGATGTCCCGTTTCTGCACCTGGTACTGAGGCAATGGCGGTTTGAGGGATCTCCGGACGGGATTCATGCTCCTCCTCGGGCGCCATGTTGCTGGATGGCATACTTAATTCGGTCGGGTGATTTGGCTGTATTCAGGAAGAACCACCAGATATCCTTATCTTGCAATTGAGGGTTTAGTACTTGAAAGCTGGGAGAAAGGAGTTTGGGACGAAAAGGGGTTGAGGGTAGAGTGGGTGAGACAGTAAGTGGAGAAGTCTGGACTGACTTACAGAAAGAGTTACTGAAGTGGGAAGATGATTCTTGCAATGCAGAAAGAAGAAAAATAAGGGAAGGTGGTGGAAGGCGGAACCGGGACTTCCCAGATTTTGGGGTGTTGAGACTTGCGGATTTGTTGCTATAGGATGACGTTTTAATGTAAGGCCTTATGGTACCTAGTTACATTCTCTTCTCCAGATAAACATAATTGATAAGACTCATTGGCTTCCGGTTCACGTTCAACCCGATGTCATTCGGCCTCCACTAGTTGATCCTTGTTCTCTACATTCCCATGCTGGCATCGAACGTCCTAAGCATGGGCGCTAGGAGCGAATGTTCTATATCGGTAGGTAAGAACCCGGTAACCTAGGTCAAGGTAAAGCACCATGGTGTGTCGTTCGTCGTGTCATCCTATATCTGTGCAGCACTGGTAACCCCAGAGACAGCAGAGAAGGCGGGTAAGTTACCCCATCCCAGGTATCACGCAAAGCCTCTAGCTGAACAGCACCCTTGTATAACTTAATAAAGTCGTCTTAAAGTCAACGGAAAGGGGAAAAGACTTCAAGGTTGTGTACCAAAGCTTGAGCTGCCACCTTAACAGGTACCCAAGGGTGACATCAGCTCTTTTTATCGCTGGACCATATGAGGCCACCAACAAATAGATTGTCTACCTAAAGGGCCATCTAGTAGTTTCCAATTGAAAACAAGTACTTGTTATGCTACGTCTCTCATCAAACAGCAAACGATGTCTGCCTGAGACACAGCAACACTTTCATGG